TCTTTCATTGCATAGTTAGATATTGTATACCCTGTGAATGTTCTGTAATACGTCTAAATCATCGCAGATAACTCTTATCGCGCTCATTTAATGATTATAGTATTAATTAATAATACTGTTTAATATTTAATGTCCATTACAAGTCCGTTACGTATGTTTTTGTATGATTCTCTTTTATAATTTCTGCAGACTGGGCGTATTTCATAAATAGGTTATTTCTGGCCTTGTTTTAAGTGATCGAGGAATTTTAATAATCTACTGAAGCTCAAATACGAACTATTTTTTTAAAATATTTTTGATTCCCTATGCCGTGTAAATTACATTCTGAATATTATATAACATTCAGATATCGGTTCTACCTTTCTCTTTACTTATTATAACAGATCATCATTCATTATGTTGTACGACGATGTTTTAAAGCTGATTGGAGAGTTTGGGCTTTACCAGAAATTATTGAGTTTACCCATTTGTTCTCAGCCATTATCTTCAGCGATGTTGATATTTGTATCGATATTTACCATGGCGACTCCTTTACACAGGTAAAAAGATTAAATATATCATAGATCAAACAGGTGAAAATGTTATTATATGAAATAAGTAAGGAGCTCTACCTACAATCTGATTAAAACACAGATTCTATTTCGTTTCATTTTTTTTATTGTTCAAAATTTCGTTTTTCTTCTCTTCACTACACTAGGATCTTGAAGAGTTGTTAAATAACTCCAGGTTTGGTTGATGGTGAGGGATTTGACAATCAAATGGTTTGTCGAGTCGAGTTCTGATCGTCTGGCACGCGGAACTACCCATGTCAAGTCAATAGATATACTGTTATTAATTACGGTACTATGCAGTCTGCCACGATAATAAACAATTATCTATTTTTAAGTTAAACTAATAAATATGAATCGTGTTTCAATCCATTTAAAATCGCGACCATTCGATGTTCAAGAGAGTTTGATTATGGACTTCTCATGTGAATAGATGTTTAATTATCGATATATTCAACATTCGAGGTGAAAAGAAAGACATGCGCTATGAAGATTAAACTCTTTTATAATACATGTTTAATGTGGTAAAATGGCCATTTGTATAAAACACTCAACAATAAACAACCCAGTAGAGTCAAGTTAATTTTGAAAAGGACCCACTGATGGCATGCCGATGTTTTGTCCGCGATATCACTTGGATGGAAGCTGACATTAAATAAAGCTAGTAACATGCGTATTCTAAATTCATATCAATAAAAGTTATCAAAATTAGAGATACACGTAATTGCAATTTTAAGAAAAGATGTCAATACCGACATGAAGGAATTATAACTTTAAAACCCACAGACAAGAAGAAATAATTGCAAAATGATATATTTACAAAATGGATATGAAGCTATTTTCTTTAAGAGGATTGAACTTTAAGATCACTAGAATAATTTCTAATTCAATTCTACAGGTGTAAAATACCAGGATATGAAAACGACACCTATCATCAACAAAACGATTACCATGGATACCTTATAAATCAGTCCATACCACAATCTTCTAGTTGTCTACTACGTAATACTACTGTTGATAAATATGGTAATATGACGTCAGTGGAATATAAATGTGGTTCATGGGTTTATGATACTTCAATGTTAGGGTCAACACTAGTTACTGAGGTAAATATTAAAATACTTGATACTGAGGTAATTCTTCTAATACTTTTGGTACTTTTGGTACTCAGGTAATTCTTCTAATACTTTTGATACTGTGGTAATTCTTCTAATACTTTGGTATTTTTTCTAATACTTTTGATACTGTGGTAATTCTTCTAATACTTTTGATACTGAGGTAATTGCTCTAATACTTTTGATACTGTAGTAATTCTTCTAATACTTTTGATACTGAGGTAATTGCTCTAATACTTTTGATACTGTAGTAATTCTTCTAATACTTTTGATACTGAGGTAATTGTTCTAATACTTTTGATACTGTGGTAATTCTTCTAATACTTTTGATACTGGTGTAATTGTTTTGATACTAAGGTAATTCGTCTAATACTTTTCATACTGAGGTAATTCTTTGTGGTAATTCTTCTAATACTTTTTGAAACTGATGTCATTGTTTTGATACGGAGGTAATTCTTCTAATACCTTTGATACTGTGGTAATTCTTCTAATACTTTTGATAGTGATGTAATTGTTTTGATACGGAGGTTATTATTCTAATACTTTTTGATACTGATGTAATTGTTTTGATACTGCAGTAATTCTTCTAATACTTTTGATACTGTGGTAATTCTTCTAATACTTTTGATACTGTGATAATTCTTCTAATACCTTTGATACTGTGGTAATTTTTCTAATACTTTTGATACTGATGTAATTGTTTTGATACGGAGGTAATTCTTCTAATACTTTTGATACTGGTGTAATTGTTTTGATACTGAGGTAATTCTTCTAATACTTTTCATACTGAAGTAATTCTCTGTGGTAATTCTTCTAATACTTTTTGATACTGATGTAATTGTTTTGATACGGAGGTTATTATTCTAATACTTTTTGATACTGATGTAATTGTTTTGATACTGTAGTAATTCTGTAGTACCCTTGTTACTGTGGTAATTCTTTAGTATTCTGTTACTGTGGTAATTCGTCTAATACCCTTGTTACTGTCGTAATTTGTCTAATACCCTTGTTACTGTGGTAATTCTTCTAATACCCTTGTTACTTGGGTAAGTCTTCTAGTACCCTTGTTACTTGGGTAATTCTTCTCATACCCTTGTTACTTGGGTATGTTTTCTAATACCCTTGTTACTTGGTTAACCCTTGTTACTTCGGTATGTTTTCTAATACCTTTCTTACTTGGGTATGTTTTCTAATAGGGTCGATCATATATGACGTCAACGGGGCCGATAAGTAAATCCCGCGAGATTTCACGAGAAATTGAACTTCCGGTGACGTGAGTCAATAATATCACGCGATTTTGTTAGCCTGATAATGTTGAAAGCAAGCTAGTGATTCGGGTTAAATATTTATTCATTTGTGTCTTAATCCAAACAATGTTGTGATCTTCGCTCACCAGTTGCTATTTATATGAAAAACAATGTCATAAATTATGCAAGAGGGAGATTTGTGGAGATTTATTAGCTGTAAAAATGACGAAGCGACGATCGACTGACTGCCGTCTGCCAGTACTATAAAACCCCGTTGAGTCCTTAAGCAGGTATGTTGAAAATCCATTATCATTAGTTAGGCCTATAATTTGTACAATCTAGTCATCTTTCCATTTATTTTAGAAAATATAAATCGAGCGATTGAAAAATGATAATGAAGTGACTGGTTAATACCGGGGACAATTGCCAGAAAAACAATACTGGGCTTGGGCTGTCACGTCGTGCGGCTTACGGAAATACCAAACACTATTGTTTACTGTATTAATACACGTATAATATATTACGGATTGTCTTTTGACTTGGAATAGACATACACACATTCATCCACTTCCCAAACCACTGAACTTCGAATCGAAAAGTGTTTCCAAGTAATATATATAAGTGATTACCCTTATAATTCTTATTTTACAAAGTTTTGGAATTAATAAAAATTAGAAAAGGCAAAATTGTTTTTAAATTTCAATTTAAATAAGTTTATGAAATTGGAGAATAATGTGCAGCTAAGGATAATATCAGTGGAATTGTGATAAGAATCACATTATAATCATGAAGAAATGAATATCAGATTGGTGTCATGAAAGGAGTGGATTTGTACATAAATTGGGGCCTTTTGAGGAAAATTAAAAGATGCTGGTTGAAGCCTAAAGGAACTCTTTAAAAACCCTTTTCAAGGTCTTGTGCAAATTCCAACTACCTGAACTCAGTGGTACATTCTTGTTTGATTTGATTATAAACCTATCTGTAAAGTCGTGGCCTATGAAATCTGAGAACTGCCTTTTAATTTAGGCATAAGTTATAACAAAAACTGCATTTTTATTAATTCAGGTGTAAAAATTAATCGCCTGAAGAAACATTATATTATGTTCAAACAAACTAATAATTAATATGTATTTTTTTCTTCAGCCCACCAATCTAGAAGCCTCTGTATTTACTTTAATGAACAATTTTCATTTGATGACCACAGGGATTTTTAAACCGATAACCACCGGCACTGAGCGATTGATTCATCCATAAATCCTAATTTTAAAAGAGTTGTTTGCATTTTACGATAAGCAGGCTTGTTATGTGAGTGCCTGAATGACTTTGAAATACATATTTCGTGTAAAGAATTGGAATACATTTAACTCTCAACTGTACATTAGCCACTTTTAGTTACACATTTCTTTGGTTTGAAATAATTTCAATAAATATATTAAATGAAATCATTGGATTATTTTGAAATATTTCTAACTGAATATTGGGAGAATATACTAGGTATATATAAAGAGATTATCTATTCATGAAATTATGAATTTTCCTCACTCAATGAAATGAACCTGATATTTGTGTAAAAGTCAATTTCTATTATACATAGCTCTCATCTGTACAAGTATTCAGTAAACTGCAAAAATTATTAATTTTGAATTGAATTTGACTCGCACCCCCCTTTATGATGGCATAAAACCATTTATTGCAACTTTTATACACAGATCACAGTTTTCAAAATATTTTTTGGGACACTAGAGATTTATTCATGTAAGATATTTTCACATTTCGCCACATTTATCAAATAGTTCATGAAATATTAAAGTCGAATTCCATAAATAGGTTACATAACCCCTTTCAAATGGCAAAATATCTTGAGCTGAAACTTTCCGATGAATTATGTGGGCTATTTCTTTAATTTGTCTATCAACAGGTATCCTGTAAAATCTCATAATTTTCCTTTTATTTAAAGATAGATCAGCATAGTAATGTCTTTAGATTTTGTGGGTCTATTATATTGCAAATTTAAGTACAGATGTAAGCTTTCAAATCCACAACTATTCAAATTTATTATTTCCATTAAAAAACAAAAGTAATTATTTCGTTCTGATTCGCAGACCGACAAATGTTCTTGGTAGTCTATGAGAAATGAACATGGTGCCAATCCAAACTTAGTCTTGATATCTAATTCACTCTCTATTTCAAAATAGGCTTCTTTCCAAACATCATTTTAACTTTACAAATCCTCACAAAATGCAGGGAGATATTCTGCCTGCTTATCGGGACTTTTTTGAGAGAGCTGATCATTTTTAAAAATAGGTAGGCCTAGATCATGAGGCCTAATATTTAAACTTTACAAATCTTAACAAAATGCAAAACTTTATGAGGCCTAGTGTTATTTTTTTTCAAACCTTAGGAAAATGCATTGAGATCGGTCTGTCAAGTAAAACCATAAAACGCAAAAAGGTACTAAATTATACTGAATAAAATTAAATATTTTAATATTCGTCCATATTCTTTAAAGACAAAATGAAGCTCAAGCTTTTTTAAAAACTGTGTTTGTTTGCGAAGGATATTTAACATTAAAAAAAAGATTTAAATAACAGGTCAAATGCAACAGATAACTTGATAGCTTTACAACCACTGTATTTTTTTCCAGAATTATAAAACAAATTGAAGGTTTAATGTTTAAAAATGTATGGTTGGGTTCTCTCGTTGTTGTTGTTATCATACATCAAATAATCTTCCAAGGATGTTGCGTCCTGAAAGATAAAAAGTAGACTATTCATTTTGCCACACATTGAGTGTCTATTTGGTTTCAACTCTGCATAACAGGTTTTGTAAATTGCCGTGTTACAGACCCAGTCTTAAAATTTGGGACTAAAATGGAAATCTTTGACGTGTACCACCAATTTGTACACTTAACCATATTAACAAATAGGAATTATAGTGAGAACTGCTAGCTCTTAATCTAATCTCCCATAGTGTATCTAGTAACAACGCATTCAGTAAATCATTAAAATTTGTTTGGCTTCGAGGTCTGTACCATGCTAACGTTTAGAATACAAAACATTTAATATCATGGATTTAGCTGTTCAAGTTATCAAAAATCATTGAAAATCAATATTATTATTCGTCTCAAGACCTTAAACTCTGTGTATCAATCTGATACTAACTTTAGCCTCTAGAGCGTCCACAAGATATTTCAAAGTGATCAAGGACCATAACTCTGGCAGTAATTATCGGAAATCGTTGAAAATCAATTGGCTTCTTCGTTTCATGACCTTAACACTGTGTATGAATTTAAAGTCAATCGGATATTAAATATACATTAGGCAAGATCTAAATCTGCCTATTGCATGTCTTTCTTTAGGTCGGATATGTTATCTAAATTATTAATTAGACATTAATTAACTTATCCAGACCATAATCAATTCACGATGTCAACGCTAGCCTGCAATATTTACTCAATTAGGATCCGATTTGCTGCTCAACTTTCATTTATGATTTAATCATGAAATGGATAATCGAGAGTATGCTTTTTCTTCAAGACATTGCTTATTAGGATTAATCTAATCTTTATTTCGCAGTTTTAGAAGATGTTTTTAAATTTAACATGCAAGCCCATATTTTATATATTAATTTAGTTTAATATGGTGTGTGACGATGATATCTTAAAAAATAATGCTATTATGTTGACGTTCCTGGGAGTGGTATTCGGGTCAACCATTATTGGTAACCTCGCCGACAGGTACGTATTGAGGTGTTGAAAAATGCACTCGCTTAAAATTCGTTCTTTTATCTTTTACATCGATTTTTAGACTATTTATACGCCCACATTTAATATGACGTTCTTTCTTCACCTTCATTACAAAAGTTTCCATTAAACTATTTTCCGATGGGGGCTTATTGCCGTCACACTTCACAGTTCTTGTAGAGACTTTCAGCTATAGGGAATTGTATTTTCAAACTTTGTTTGGCAAATCCTGTTGTCATTCCTCAATCTTTTATTTGGGAGTTTATTGTCGTTGCCTGTGTCTGAAAATGGATACGAAAATGATGTTGTTGGTGATAACGCACATAATGAATAAATCTATGACATTCATCCGGGTGATCATCATTATTATGACACTCATCCAGGTGACGCAAATGACCATGGTGATGATGACAATGACCCAAAAAAATTAGCGAAAATGGTTTACCCGGTGTTCTGCTTTTGCAATATCAATCATTTTTGTAATAATGTAATTTTGTTGTTAAAATGGTTGACATAACTCTTTGTTTATATTAAGTATCATGGCGTATGTTCAGCAGTCTATATTTAGCTGGGGTTCCAGTTAAAGTTTTTGGCATTTAATGTTTATAGCAGTTGAGTTACTTTTCATCTAAAAGGATAATTTCTTTATGTTACAGAGTTGGTCGTAAACCGGCATTGGTTATAAGTAACATCGTGTTTGTCACTTCTGCTTACTTACTGGTTTGGTCACCCAATTATATTTTCTTGGCGATTGCTAGATTTTGTGTTGGAATAGGAATAGGAGGACAGGGGATAACTACCTTTATTTTAGGTGAGTTTATTTTTTGTCTTTTGGTGGGGGTGGGGTTGTTCAAGTTCAATATGAATAATCCCCAGATAATCCTATCTGAAGTAATAGCCAGTCTTCATTATCAACAATATATTTTTTATGTCAAAATTTCATCTGTACGTGGTACGTGATGTTGGAATGATGACAAAAGAAAAAAAAAAACCCTACTGATGTTTGGTAGTTTGGAATGCACAGATTTTAAATCGTGAATAATAGTATAAGACACTCCCCAATAGTCGTTGCATACGGACACTTTCATAGAGGGGTTCAAATTGTAATGCCAGGTGACAATTGTCAAGTTTATTTGTTTTCTATAAGGTGTGGAGATTGTTGGACCTTCTAAAAGAAGATTTACTGGAGTGATGTGTAACTTCAGTTGGTGTTTGGGTATTTTCATGGTAGCAATGTTAGGATATTATATTAGAACCTGGCGATACCTACATCTAGCTGCAGCCATCTTGACATCACAGCAGTTATTCTACTATTTGTATGTACCTTTTGTATGCACGTTATAGTTTAGTTGAGTACCACAAATGTCTGATATTTCATTGCCAGTGAAGTTCACAGTTATTTAAATTAGTTTTATAACGTTAGGCGTCCGACCAAGTACATACTTTACGTCGTATCTATGTTTCGGAATGCCTGCGGATAGGGATTTCTATATGTGTGACTTTATATCATTCGTATGCTAGTCATCAATACACAGGGGCCCTAACGGACAGATATATATATATATATAAAACTTATCATATCCCATTGTATGTATCTTACAACGTTATAGATTGGCTGTAGATTTTGTTGGGGAGCACATGAAACAAACCCCTTCCATAAACAAAATTAAACGTAGTTTAATGACGTTTGACCACTCTCTTGTTACACAAGATCTAACCAACGGCTTTATAATAAATATGTAACGATGTCTCGCCTTATATTACAACGTGATAAAATTTTACTATCTTTTTGTCTGGGGATACATTTGTTGAAGATAAGTCTGATTTGAAAAGTGTTCTGCGAATGATTCCATGTTGGTGACTTCATGGAATTTCCTATTCTAAACTAAGTAAATAAACAAGTGTTATAAACGGCGGGTTGGGCATTATGTTGTAGTATTGGGTAGTATGTGGTGATATTGGAGTGGTATTCGGGTGGTATTGGGTAGTATTGGGTAAATCGTCCCGCCGGTTATAAACACCTACACAAGTTTATTCTTAGGAAATATGATGGGTACAGAAAGACACTGACCCCTCACCAACTCCCAACAAATTGTTTTGAAAGTTTTCAATAATTATGCTTACCTTAACTGTATTGTATGCGCGTTCACGTTTGATTATTATCATGATGATGACGCAAGGAAGTCACTCTTAATGGTGAGCTCTGTAGAACTATGGTCTTCATCCTTTTGAAAAAGTGATACTTACTAATTCCAAAAGACTTGGGAGTAGAAAACTTAGCAGCTGACCAGATCTTCCTGGTTTGAAGTATCCATGTCTTGTTTGAGGCAACCATTTTGGCGTAGAGGACGCATGCGTGCTGGATACCAGTAAATCGTCATTTCTGTGCATATTTCGTTGTTATTTTAAAGCATGGTAACGGAAAGTCCACGTTGGTTATTAACACGAGGTCAACTTGATAAGGCACAGAAACTAATCAAGAGAGCAGCTGATGTCAATAAAACGATTGTAAGCGATGTAGTACTAAACAACTTAAGATTACCAGAACAGCCTCCAACAGCAAATTTCTGGAAACTTTGTTCAACACGAAAACTGACAGCAAGAACACTTGCCATTTATTTTGTGTGGTAAGTGGAAAGAAGCCTTCATTGATACCTTCCTAAAATTTCAAATTACCTGTATTCAATAAATTATACTCCTTTACAAAATGGTAAGTAAATGATGCCTTCCCGAAATCCAAATTATTCAATACATTATACACCTTTACAAAATGAACCAAATTATGTCGCAGTTAATTTCGATGGGATGCTAATATTATCATTATGATTTAACAAATAAATTTCAAGTAATCAACCAAATATTGTTTCATTTACACTGGTAAGCTGATATACCGTAATATGAACCTTGGCCTTTTAGTAAGGACAATTTTTGTCATTAAATGATATAAGTGGATAGTATAGGCCACAATTTGTGTCCGAGATGAAATTTAACATATATGTTAAGCTTCAAAAGTAGGGGATATAGAAATGCAAATACCTATGCAGGTTGTGATATGATAAATAGTCATGGACACTTGACATGCTTTGAGAGTATGTTCACAGAACCACTGAGCTGCACGTGCGAGGGGTTCATTGTCAAATTTGACACTGCAAGGAAGGGTTGATGAAAACTGCCGCTTGCTGTTTTATCCTATCCATGTTTGCTTTCCTATCGGTTCTTGCATATGATTTACTGTTTAGCGTATCTTTGCTTTAGTGTGTTATGTTTAATTTGATCGGGAGACGTGTTCGTCGACGTCAACGTCAACCGACAACACTGCAAGAATTGGCCGTGGCACCTTAAGAGGAATGGGCCAGATTGCCCCAAATCGTCATTGGACAGTTGATTAGGAGCATACCACAACGAATTGCTGTATGTCTAAGGATTGGTGGAGCAATTACTCATTATTAACACAAAAATCAAAAACGTCCATTTTCACTTTTGACAGTTTATCTCTTTGCGAATGAAATGGGGCCGTCAGATAAGCTGGCCATATGAACTGTTTATGTTCACGTGTAGGCAATTGGCCTGTTATTAACATACACTGGTATTGCACAAATGGATAAAGGCGGTGTTTGTGTGTGCGTGGGGGGGGGGGGTAGATTTTTTACAGATTGATATCAATTTAGGCATGGTAGAGTCCTGTGCTACGGTCACTTATCATCGCATAGTACCGTATTTATTTGCAGGTTTACAGTGAGTGTCACGTATTTCGGTATAATGCTAAATTTAAAGTTTTTGGTGGGAAATATATATCTGAATCTATTTCTGACAGCCATCATTGAAGCAGTTTGTTATACAATTGTTACATTAGTAATAGATAAATTAGGAAGAAAGAAACTGATATGTGGATGTTATTCTCTACAGATTATATCATTAATAGCTGTAATATTTATACTACTATACGTACCACCAGGTAAATTCATTTTAAAACTCAGTAAACCTTGTAAAGTAAGGTCCGCTTTCAATGTACGCGTTTCCTTTGTATGTTGCTGGATGGCGCCTTTTTTCGTGTGAAGTGTGCGCATGCGGATGTTCACATTGTGGCATATAAACACGGATTCTCTTCCACTAAAGTCATTCAACCGCTCTTGTTTCTGTAAATGGTGTCATTTTCTTAAAAAAAGGAGCGACTGAAAGTTAACAATGTCGAGCTACATGCTATAAAGCCTGTCCAACCTCCTGGGTTTTCTCCGTATCCTCCAGTTTTCTCCCACTGCTAAAGACTCCTACGCGCAAGTGATTTATTGAAATAAAATTGAACCATGTGTTAGTCCCGAAATGACCTAGTTTGTGTCGAGTGGACGTGACACCCATCTCTCTTTGGTTTCGCTCATTTAAATTATTTTATTTGGTAGATCTGAACTGGTTGATGACATTATTTACCTTGATTGGTCAGTGTGGAGCTATAAGTAGTTTTGCTATAGTTTGGTTGTGGACAAGTGAACTTTTCCCGACAGAATTAAGAAATGTTGGAACCGGTACAGGTTCCGCTTCAGCACGGGTAGGAGCTCTTGTTGCACCATATCTAGAATTATTGGTAAGTAAACTTACTTGATATTTGATATGTGTATAGAATGACCGAATTATTAATGATATAGTATGAATGAAATGCATGTGCCTATTGTGGGTCTTTTTGTCTTCAAACGTTATACAAATTAATATTTATTTAAACATTTATTCACATGACAATAGTTGACCCATAATCAACTAAGGGGACTATCAGATGGCTGAGATATTCAATGGATTATACCACTCGTGTCATATAGCGTTAACATGGACGTCACATAATAAAAGCTATGACAACTGAGACTTGGTTTATTATCATTACAATGGTTTATTTTTCGTAAAGTCAATGATAGCATGACAAGATTTACCTTTCAGTTTCATTTTTTCATATTTCAGAGTAAATTAGTTCCTGGAAGATTTAAAGAGGTTTCGCCATTTTTAATTTTTGGCATTATTTGTATGGTAGCTCTAGTTCTAATGGTCTGTGTCCTACCTGAAACAAACAAACAAAAACTACCAGATACTGTGGGTGATACAGAAAGATTGAAACATGGGTACGATAAGTTGACCTGTGTTACTAAAAGAATTATTGTTTTTGCATTAAATCATATGTTCTGGATACTTGATTCAGCCAGAATCATATGGATTGTTCTGGATACTTGATTCAGCCAGAATCATATGGATTGTTCTGGAGAGTGGGTTCAGCCTGGTTCAGCCAGTAAAGCACTGGGTCCCAGGGGTGATCCCAGTTTTGATCGAGAGAGAGAGAGAGAGAGAGAGAGATATACCGAAATGCAAGGAATCGACACCACGCCAATTAACTAAATAATAGATCTTATAGTTTGACGCGAACGCCTAAAACCTCTAGTCTGGCATGCACAACAGGGTCCCTGATAATTGGAATTTGACGAGTAGTCAGCGGAAACGTCATAGTCCAGGCAAATAGCACTCTGTATGGCCTATGTCCGTCTTTATTATCAACCCCATTTTATTTCAGCTATATCAGATCATTGGCTTACCCCAATATGATCTTGGATTAAAGTCCCATATGGGTCATTCCCTAAATAAACATGGTTGACTCCCCATGATACAATGATACGTCTCTGAATCTTTCATTGATAATGTCTTTTTATTAATACTCTTATTTAGAAACAAGTCATTGATATCGATATATATTTTTGTAGGTTTGGAGAAACGAGAGATATTATGAATGGGAAAGATGAAACGGTTGAAATGCTTGGTACAGATTCTAAATGTTGACTCTCGAATTTGCATGTTTATATGGGAGATATAGATTCCTTTGTTTTGTAGTATTTAAATAATATACGAGGGCAATTCATTCGACAATTACTAGTACAAACTATCTATAAGTGTATCTATAAGTTATGCATGGATATGAAAATATTTCGAAAATTGAATACAATTGTTTTAGCGGTGGATGGAGTTTTCAGATCAAAGAAAATTCTGTAAAAGAAAGATGGAGACGGTCAAATTATCGCTCCATTTGATTAGAAGAAATGGCTGTTATGTTAAACGAAGATTTTATAGAATATTAGATTACAACTTCCATTGATATCTCAATCTGATTAAAAAACAGATCCTATTTCGTTTCGTTTTTTATAGTTCAAAATTTCGTTTTACTAGTCTTTAATACACTAGGATCTGGAAGAGTTGTTATAATTGACGTTTTCTGGATGATGTGAGGGTTTAGCCAACGAATCGGTCTGTTACAGCGAGCTTTTGGCGTGTGCTGCAGTCAAATGTGGGGGGTGGGGTGGGGGTGGGGTGGTAATCTACTAGAAACATCCATGTTGACTGGTTGCTCTAATGCCTGACGTCATAGGGTCAAAAGTAGCTCGTATGGTCTCTGACGCGATCTATCACTACAACCGGTGAGATCTTCATGTACTGTAGGCCATCAAAAAACCACGAAATATAGATCTGTATATTAATCAGATTGATTGATATATATATTTATTTGAATAACACCGCTAGGCTATTGTCATGTAGGCTATTGTCATGTAGGCTATTGTCGTGTAGGCTATTGTCATGTAGGCTATTGAAAGAGCACAAAGGAAATATGTTCTCAATGAATCTCATCTATCATTCTGCTGCTTAGTTTGTAATACTTTAAATTTGTTTTTAAATTCAGAAATATATTTATTATGTAAGTTAATATGTGGGTTTGTAAAAAAAACGGTTGAAAATGTTAATATTATTATTATTATTATTATTATTATTATTACAGCATATTTATAGTGCACCCTTTCATATAACATGTTCAGAGGCACTTTACAAAGTGACAATGTAAATCACACATAAACAACAAGATTATGGGCATGTTAACGATTGTATACAGAGTCAGTTAAAAGCCTGATTAAATAAATGTGTTTTAAGTTGTTTTTTAAAAGAATACAGAGATGTACAACATCTTAAACTAAATGGTAGATTATTTTATAAAACAGGTGCTTGATAACTAAATGAGCGCTGACCATAGGAGACTAGTTGAACAGTTTTGGGCTTTAAAAGTAGTTTATCTGATGTACGTAATGTTCGGCCAGGTGTATAAAGTTCTAAAAGATCTGAGAGGTAAACAGGAGCTAAATTATTTAAAAATTTAAAAGTAAGTAATAAAATCTTAAAATCAATTCGATATTTAACAGGTAACCAGTGTAAATTATATAAAACAGGAGTTATGTGGTCACATTTCTTAGTTAAAGTAACAAGTCTAGCCGCAGTATTCTGTACTTTTTGTAATTTATCTATAAGCTTTAAAGGTAAACCAACTAAAAGTGAATTAAAGTTATCTAATCGAGAAGTGACCAGAGAATTAACAAGTGACTTAGTGGCCTCTACATTTACACATTTACGTATTTTACCTATATTTACTTGAGCTCCCATAAGCATAAAACTATCAAAGATAGCGCCAATATTACGAGCAGAATAAGATGAAAATATATCACAATTACCAATTACAACACGGGGGTTATCTTGTGCAGATTTACTTAATTGATGCCTTGAGCCTAATAACAAATATTCGGTTTTATCATCATTCAATTTTAGAAAGTTCTTTGACATCCATTTTCTAATTTCACTAATACAGTTCTCAAGTTGCAATTTTGATAAATTGAAAGAAGATGGACAATTAGGTGTAAATAAAATATATAATTGAGTATAATCGGCATACAAATGAAAGCTGAGACCATATTTTCTGACAATATCTCCTAATGGTGACGTATAGAGGGTAAATAAAATCGGACCAAGAACAGAATCTTGGGGAACCCCAGATGACAAAACAGATTCAGACGACGATTTGCAATTAACTAAAATACTCAGCCAAATTAAAAACTTGACACTGATGAATTTCAACAATTTTTTTTTCTGGTAAGTCAAATAAATTTTAAAGTGTTTCTAACGATAGTAAGTAGTAAGACGCCTTTAATTTCATAAAATTTTAAAGATGAAAAGCCTGAAAAACACATGCAAACACAAACTCGGGAGGTCAATCGATGCAAGTTTGCTTAAACTGAACACGCACACGTAACTTGAACTGGAAAAACAAATTAAAATTGTTATTTTCATCTTTGTTAGAAAATGCCGCCCCTTTCAAATGTAGAACGTCTACGTGCTATAGGTAGGCTCTATGCTGGTCAGTCTGTGGTCACTGTTGCAAGAGCCTTTAATTGTTTACGCCAGACAATAATTAATCTTAGAATGAGAGTGCTTCAAACTGGAACTATTGCCGACCGCCCAAGGCCGGGAGCGCCACGTGTGACGTCACTCCAGGAAGATCAAGCAATACAATTACGTCATCTTAGAAACAGATTTGTCACTGCAACCTCCACAAGTAGAGAGATGTTTGGTGGAAGGGTAACTGCACAAACTGTTCGAAATCCCTTGCAGGCTGCTGGTCTTCGAGCTCAAGTATGCGTCAGAGAAGTTGACCGATTGTGTGGCGGCAGCGTCATGGTTTGGGGTTCTTTTTGTGCACATGGACGTTCTCATCTTGTTGTTGTCCAAGGGAACTTAAATGCTGTCCAGTACAGGGATCAGATTTTGCAACCTGTTCTTCTTCCGTTTATGCAGAGTCATGGGCCTGGACTAACGTTTCAACAAGACAATGCTCGACCCCATACAGCAACTGCTACCCAGAATTTTTTTAAAAATGCCGGTGTCCAAGTCCTGGATTGGCCGTCGCTTAGCCCCGACCTTAATCCTATTGAACACATCTGGGACGAACTGGGTCGACGTGTTCGTCAGCAAGTGAATCCACCACTGACGTAAGTGACGTTGCAGGACCTTCAACATGCTCTTGCTGAGCAGTGGCGACGTCTTCCTCGGGTAGTGTTTACTAATGTTCTGAGATCCATGAGAAGACGTTGTGTGGCAGTACGAGACGCTAGAGAGGGCCACAACCGTTACTAAACACTTTATTCCGATTGTTCTCAAAGTCTGAAAATTTCATTTTTTTTGGGGGGGGGGGGGGTACTGTGACATCACGAACGTTATCAATGTCAAGAACCTTCGGTGAGACGTATTCTTGCTTTCTGTTGATGTCAAGGTGGTCTGTGCACAACATAACACTAAAATAGTGGCCTTAAACCAAATATTAAAAATATAGTCCCAAAACAAAAATCCCGAGTTTCAAGTTTTTAATTTGGCTGAGTATAGATAGAAATGTATTTGTATTAAAATATTAGATCGACAGATAAACACAATGTATAGTCCCTGTGACGTCATACGCCAATGAACTCCAATATGACTGTAGTAGCAAAACTGAAAAGTACTTGAAAACATCCGACTCATAAACGTTAATATATCCAAAAAATTTTATCAGACTGGCGCGAGATTGTCGTATATACAAATTTTATATGGTTATTTTATATGTTCTTTAAAATTTGCGTTTTGTTAATGGACGATGCATAATGTAAGAATATGTTCTGCTCCGACTTGACTAATGAAAACGGGCATAGAGTGTGTCCGGAAGGCGACAATACGGCCTACTCTTATATCGAGTTCCAACTGCTAAGGGGACTTTTACGTGTACGCGGGGCCTTGGTTTTTCGTGCCATCCGAACGGTTATTCATTGTTCTTTGCCAGGGCCCCTGTCCTGTACCAGTGACAAGGGGGAACCACGGCGGAAATTCCAGATATAATTCTCGGCCAAAGCAGGGCTCAAAAACAGGGCCCCAGATTAGAGAGCCAACGTCTTACTCACTGAGAATTAGATAAAGAACGTAAACTGTTTGTTATCGTAAACTGGGTCTCAGTTATCTATTGAATCGTTAGACGTCTAAATGGTCTAGATGTTCTAGTCTATTTAATATCTGAGTCATACGGTGGCCCAGAAAGTTGATCATTTAGATGTAATCTGTTATCAGTTTAGTAAATATAGGATTTATTTACATCGGAACAGAATATCAAACAGTTACATAGATACAATATGAACTAAACTAGATCGAGAACTAGACTACGGCATGAACACAGATAACAATATTAAGTCCCCCATTCCGCCCCTCTGCCCAGTCAGCGGCTGAAGTCGGGTGAGTCCATGCACACGTCTAAGCCTTTCTTTTCCACCCCGCTCGTCTCAGGTCGTCTCGTATCTGTGTCTCTGCTCCTCGCTCTGGACGTCTTCAAACGCTTACATACACTCCATGTCACGGTATGCTTACTGAACCAGTGCGTATTTCTTTGAAGTCACGAAGGGCTTGTACACAAATCATATGTAGTTTTTAAATGACATATGGGATTATTACATGTTTAATTAGATCATAGCCAGTTCGAGCCTTAAAGGAGCTAAATCGCTAATATTTTGGATCTAGAAATTGACACAAATGGGTCGCAACGCATATAATAATGTGATGTGAATGTATATAAACGGATTTACACTCAATCGTTTCTGTTTTTACTGCAATTTCTAATCAATTATGTTCAATCGAATAGCAATCTCTAACGTCTGGTTATTCCACTCTATACCAATAGTACTTATTGCACATGCTCTCCAGATAAGAATATGGAGTCACCGATTGACATGACTTGTGGAATATATCTAGCCTCTTTCTACGAGTCCCTTGTTTAAAATGGCACTGAAATGCACCACGGTACACGCTTCGTGTACCAACGGTAAAATGTTTATTTTGTCTTAATTATTGGATATCAGAAGCCCATTTTTTCCCTGTAAGATCACAAAATCAATGTTGATTTAAATTGACAAATAATTCGTGTTTTCAATGTCGATGATTTTGGGTGATATTGAGTTAGAGACTTAGCTACTTTAACAGAAGTTTATACAGACTTAAAAGTCAATATAATATATTATCAAAAGCAGCTTAGGTCAATAAGATCTATGCACCTAAATGATCGTTCAATTTGATGAAAGTTGTAGACTACTTTGTCACAATATTTCTACGCCGTCACTCACGAATGTGGGGCGAAAGTTTTTATTTAGTCTTTTCTCCCCTTCCCCTTTTCCCCCTTTTGCAAGGCGATTTTTGATGACCTTTTGGTGAATATTCATGATTTTGGGGCGGAAGGATACAAGAGTTGAGAGGTTGGTTAGGTTGAAATGTAGGGCCGAAAATTGCATGCTTTCTTGTCCCTACTTCCAGCTTGTGTATCTCAAGTTTTTCATGGTGAACCTCATACATGCTTTTGGGTAAGAGTTTGTCACATGTTGCTCCATCTGTGGCAGAAAGCGTTCTACCCAACAAAAATTTGGGAAAACGTTAGAGCCGGTCTAAGAGTCGAGAATTAACATTAAAGTCAATGGGGAAATCATTAGTGATCTGTGGCCATATTGTAGACGACCCATCATCAGTGTATGCGGGTTTATTGATGAAAACAAGAATAGAAAACAACGTAGAGTCAGTTTATCAGGTTTATATAATTCCGTGGAATGTCAGCCATCATCGAATAAACCTGACATTATCTATGACAATGTACCAACTTCCATTGTACAGGAAGCTCCTCGGATAAACTAGGTTCCATCTTCACAATAAGAATATATCGAAGTGTATTTGTACAATTAAGAGATTGGTTGTAAATATAAAAATTATTGACATTGTTTGAGTAGTTCACGGCTCAACAATCTGTCCTTATAAAAACTGACCCGTTAATCAGCCTATCTGCACCATCGAGAAGAATTTGTGGAGTGGGAAAAAGTTTATCCCGCGCACGTGGAGTCGGAGATCGCAGCAAATATACGTCACAAATAGCTTTTAAACAAACAAGTATTGGTAAAGCCGAGTAGAATACACCCATTACGCGCTTACAGCGAACGTGAACAAAAATTTCGATTGCACTCGTTGATTTAATTTTTGATTCTGGCAATATATGCGATTTTGGTGCAGAGCTAGCTGTAATAGCTTCGTTTCTTTTCTAACTTTCAAACTCATGAGCGCTGCAAGATAAACTCATTACAACAATTTAATATTTACTTTTATTTAGTGGTTACAACTATCTTTAGGTGCCGATCTCGTCAGTTTAGGAAATAAATATTTGCTAGCTCTAAATACGCAGAACTTTTTGAAACCGGAAAATAGCTGAAACAAAATTTTTATTCGTAGTCTTTATATTCCAGACCTTTTCGGTAATTTGGTGTAAATTATTTTTAGAGTATTTTATTTAATTATTTTGTTGAATATTTTCCTCGAACTTTATTCAGCAATGTGTTCTTTTTCCATAACAAACATCATACGGCACAATTTGTATCTGGGGGACAAAAAGTAAAATTAGTGTTAAATTATTAGGTTTATAGAGGTCGTTATCCATATCTCTCCGTATTACATGCTATTATATTTTCCTCTACTTTATCCGACAAATTTTTCTTTTTGCATAAAAAACAGGATACTGCACAATACATTTATTTATTTATGGGACTATCATTAAAGTGTTAAATTAGAGTGTATTCCGTTACTTCGCGACAAGAAAATAAACGATCTTTTCCGACTGTGATAAAGAAATCTTCGTGTCAGGGACGTAATTCTACCTTTTTTTTTTTTTATCAAGAACCATAAGGCCGTATTGTCGCCTTCCGGGCACACTGTATGCCCGTTTTCATTAGTCAAGTCGGAGCAGAACAGGACATATTCTTACATTATGCATCGTCCATTAACAGAACGGAAATTTTAAAGAACATATAAAATAACCATATAAAATTTGTATATACGACAATCTCGCGCCAGTCTGATTAAAATTATTGGATATATTAACGTTTATGAGTCGGATGTTTTCAAGTACTTTTCAGTTTTGCTATTACAGTCATATTGGAGTTGATTGGCGTGTGACGTCACAGGGACTACAAACGAGGCTAGTCAATATACATTCTTACCATTATGGACACATGACCGTCAGAGTTTATGAAGGGTTTACTGGGGTTGGACACAAAATCATCTATAAATCTATATTGTGTTTATCTGTGGATCTAATATATTATATACACATACATTTCTATCTATTTTCAACCGATTTATTTTTTACAAACACACATGTTAACTTACATATTAAATATATTTCTTAATTTAAAAACAAATTTAAAGTATTACACACTAAGCAGCAGAATGAGAGATGAGATATCCATTGAGAACATATTTCATTGGACTATTTGAATAGCCTACATGACAATAAATATAGATATCAATCATACTGATTAAAATACAGATCTGACTGGTTGTAGTGATAGATCGCGTCAGAGGTCATACGAGCGGCATTTGTACCTATAACGTCAGATATTTGATCAACCAATTAACATTGATGTTTCTAGTGGATTACCCACTGTTCCGTGCAGCACACGCCAAAAGCTCGCTGTAACAGACCGTTTCATTGGCTAAACCCTCACATCATCCAGAAAACGTCAATTATAACAACTCCTCCAGATCCTAGTGTATTAAAGACTAGTAAAACGAAATTTTGAACTATAAAAAACGAAACGAAATAGGATCTGTGTTTTAATCAGATTGAGATATCAATGGAAGTTGTAATCTAATATTCTATAAAATCTTTGTTTAACATAATAGCCATTTCTTCTAATCAAATGGAGCGATAATTTGACTGTCTCCATTTTTCTTTTACAGAATTTTCTTTGATCTGAACACGCCATCTATTTCTAAAACAATTGTATTCAATTTTCGAAATATTTTCTTATCCATGCATAACTTATAGATACACCGCAAGATACTTTGTACTAGTAATTGTCGAATGAATTGCCCTCGTATATTATTTAAATACTACAAAACAAAGGAATCTATATCTCCCATATAAACATGCAAATTCGAGAGTCAACATTTAGAATCTGTACCAAGCATTTCAACCGTTTCATCTTTCCCATTCATAATATCTCTCGTTTCTCCAAACCTACAAAAAGATATATCGTTATCAATGACTTGTTTCTAAATAGCGTATTAATCGTATCAGTTGCGAGGTAAATCGTTAAAAAAAGAGATTATCAATAAAAGGTTCATGGTAATTCACATGTTTATTTGGAAAATGACCCATATGGGGCTTTAATTCAACCAATGATCTGATACAACTGAAATAATATGGGGTTGATCGTCTTACTTGTCTGAGCAAACCGAGACAATAAAGACGGGCATAGGCCATACAGAGTGCTATGACCAATATTTGCCTGGACTATGACGTTTTCGCCGACTTCTCGTCAAATTCCAATTGTCAAGGGGAAACCAAACAGGTAAATCCTGCGTAGCTTTCTTGATCGGTCACTGAGTGGTTTAGTGGTTTCAGGCGTCCGGGTTCAAATATAAGATCTGATATTGAGTCAATTGGCGTGGTGTCGATCTCTCTCTCTCTCTCTCTCTCTCTCTCTCGCGCGCTCTCTATCTCTCTATCTATCTCTCCTCTCTCTCTCTCTCAAAACTGGGATCACACCTGGGACCCAGTGACTTACTGGCTGAACCAAGCTAAACCAACTATCCAGAACAATCCATATGATTCTGGCTGAATCAAGAATCCAGAGCAACACATATGATTTAAAGCAAAAACAATAATTCTTTTAGTAACACAGGTCAACTTATCGTACCCATGTTTCAATCTTTCTGTATCATTCACAGTATCTGGTAGTTTTTGTTTGTTTGTTTCAGGTAGGACAAAGAGGATAAGAACTAGAGCAACCATACAAATGATGCCAAAAATTAAAAATGGCGAAGCCTCTTTAAATCTTCCAGGAACTAATTTACTCTGAAATATGAAAAAATGGAACTAAAAATGAACCATTGTAATGATAATAAACCAAGTCTCAGTTGTCATAGCTTTTATTATGTGACGTCCATGTTAACGCTATATGACACGAGTGGTATAATCCATTGAATATCTCAGCCATTTGATAGTCCCCTTAGTTGATTATGGGTCAACTATTGTCATGTGAATAAATGTTTAAATAAATATTAATTTGTATAACATTTGAAGTGAAAACGACCTACAATAGGCACATGCATTTCTTTCATACTATGTCATAAGTTGCTAAATATTCTCTCGTCTATACACATTTCAAATATCAAGTAAGTTAGCTTACCAATAATTCTAGATATGGTGCAACAAGTGCTCCTACCCGTGCTGTAGCGGAACCAGTACCGGTTCCAACATTTCTTAATTCTGTCGGGAAAAGTTCACTTGTCCACAACCAAACTATAGCAAAACTACTTATTGCTCCACACTGACCAATCAAAGTAAATAATGTCATCAACCAGTTCAGATCTACCAAATAAAATAATTTAAATGAGCGAAACCAAAAAGAGAAAAAATCTTATATTTAATTTGTCATAGATACACGTACATGGGTCAAAAAACTTCAATTTAGCATTGAATGTGGTGGTATATAAATTAATCTGGTCTTGAATTGCTGTTGGCCTGAAGTACTAACTACTGCCTAACCTTTGGCTGCACTGTAAATGGCTAAAACATAAATCATGTCCAAGAAAAAATCACTTCATGCATGTTTTATTACCCCAATTAGGCACAGACTGAAGCTGACAATAATATTTCCGTATGTTTTGTGCCATTAAAATACAAATTACTAGGGAATCTCATGTAAATGACGTCATAAAGGAATGGCTTCTCTTTACAGTATGGTCGCCTTTTTAAAATGACACCATTTCCAAAAGATCTGCCGTTTGCAAGCTGAATTTGCAGAAACAAGAGCAGTTAATTGAATTAGTGGAAGAGAACCCGTGTTTTTACGCCGGATCCGCATGCGCACACTTCACACGAAACAAGCGCCACTTCACAATTTGTTTTTCCTCGCGCGCGGAATCGCTTATATACAAACGGTCCCATTATATTTGCATTAGACCGATGTTTCGCCAAAGGAAACGCGTACATGGAAAGTGGACCTTACTTTACAGGGTTTACTGAGTTTTAAAATGAATTTACCTGGTGGTACGTATAGTAGTATAAATATTACAGCTATTAATGATAGAATCTGTAGAGAATAACATCCACATATCAGTTTCTTTCTTCCTAATTTATCTATTACTAATGTAACAATTGTATAACAAACTGCTTCAATGATGGCTGTCAGAAATAGATTCAGATATATATTTCCCACCAAAAACTTTAAATTTAACATTATACCGTAATACGTGACACTCACTGTAAACCTGCAAATAAATACAGTACTATGCGATAATAAGTGACAGTAGTACACGACTCTACCATGGCCTAAATTGATATCAATCTGGAAAAAATCCCCCCCCCCCGCACCTCCGGAACGGAAGATTCGATATCCATGTAAATGCTTTTAGAGGATTCACAAACTCTATAGGCTAGCTACCTATTTCAAATTTTGAACACCAAAATCCTATCCATCTAAGAAATGAAATGAAATGAAATGGGGTTTAACGTCCTACTGTTCTGCTCCTAACCTGGACTAATGAAGACGGGCATACGCCATACAGTGTGCTATGAGGGGAATTTTGCCCGGACAGCGGCACTACGGCCTACTCTTATATCGAATTCCAACTGCCAAGGGATCTTTTACGTGCACGTCAATGTGTACACGGGACTTCGGTTTTTCGTCCCATCCGAACGACTAGACAGCTTTCCTTGTCAGCTAACTATCCATCTAAGAACTTTTGAAGCTTAACATATATGTTAAATTTCATCTCCGACACAAATTGTGACCTATACTATCCACTTATATTATTTAATGACAAAAAGTAATCATAATGATAATATTAACATCCCATCGAAAGTAATTGCGACATAATTTGGCTCATTTTGTAAAGGTGTATAATTTATTGAATAATTTGAAATTTCGGAAAGCTATCAATCACTTACCAAACAAAATAAATAGCAAGTGTTCTTGCTGTCAATTTTCGTGTTGAGCAAAGTTTCCAGAAATTTGCTCTTGCAGGCTGTTCTGGTAATCTTAAGTTGTTTAGTACTACATCGCTTACAGTCGTTTTATTGACATCAGCTGCTCTCTTGATTAGTTTCTGTGCCTTATCAAGATGACCTCGTGTTAATAACCAACGTGGACTTTCCGTTACCATGCTTTAAAATAACAACGAAATATGCACAGAAATGACGATTTACCGGTATCCAGCACACATGCGTTCTCTACGCCAAAATGGTTGCCTCACATAAGACATAAGTTTTGGAATTAGGAAATATCGCTTTTTCAAAAAGATGAACACTATAGTTATACAGAGCCCACCATTAAGAGTGACTTACTCGCGTCATTATCATGATAATATTCAAACGTGATCGAGCATACAATACAGATAAGGTACTTTCAAAACAATATGTTGGGGTGGGGTGGGGTCAGTTTCTTACTGTGCCCAGCATATTTCCTGAGAATAAATCCATGTAGGTGTTTATAACACTTATTTATTGACTTAGTTTAGAATAGGAAATTCCATGAAGTCACCAACATGGAATCATTCCCAGACGTTATTTAATAACTGTGAACTCCATATTGTAGTGAAAGACATTGGCAATGAAATATCAGACGTTTGTGGTGCCCAACTAAACTATAACGTTGTAAGGTACATACAAGAAATATCAGACGTTTGTGGTGCCCCACTAAACTATAACGTTGTAAGGTACATACAAATAGTAGAATAACTGATGTGAGGTCAAGATGGCTGCAGCTAGATGTAGGTATCGCCAGGTTCTAATATAATATCCCAACATTGCTACCATGAAAATACCCAAACACCAACTGAAGTTACACATCACTCCAGTAAATCTTCTTTTAGAAGGTCCAACAATCTCCACACCTGATAGAAAACAAATAAACTTGACAATAGTCACCTAACATTACAATTTGAACCCCTCTATGAAATTGCCAGTATTCAATGACTATTGGCCTGTGTCTTATACTAATATGCATTCCAAACTACCAAATATTATCATTATCATACCAACATCAGGTACCACGTACAGATTATATTTTTACATATGCGCTATTGTTAATAATGAAGACTGGCTATTACTTCAGATAGGATTATCTGAGGATTGTTCATATTGAACACCCCCACCCCCACCAAAAGACAAAAAATAAACTCACCTAAAATAAAGGAAGTTATCCCCTGTCCTCCTATTCCTATTCCAACACAAAGTCTGACAATCACCAAGAAAATATAATTAGGTGACCAAACCAGTAAATAAGCAGAAGTGACAAACACGATGTTACTTATAACCAATGCCGGTTTACGACCAACTCTATAACATAAAGAAATTATCCTTTTAGATGAAAAGTAACCCAACTGCTACAAAGCTAAATGCTTAAACTTTAAATGGAACCCCAAGAAATGTCCTTCTTTAACAGCTGGAAACAGAGAGAGAGAGAGAGAGAGAGAGAAAGAGAGAGGGTGGGTGTAACGTTTCCTACGATCAAAAAAAGCATTTATGCAATATTTTTCTTTTGGCATTGTCATCATGACCATGGTCATTTACGTCACCTAGATGACGTGTTCATAATGATGATCACCCGGATGAATGTCATAGATGTATTCATTATTTATGTGCATTATCAGCAGCAACATCATTTTCGTATCCATTTTCAGACACATGCAAAGACAATATACTCCCCCCAAAATAGGGAAATAACAACAGGATTTGCCAAACAAGGTTTGGATATAAAATGTCCTATAGCTGAAAGTCTTTACAAGAACTGTGAAGTGTAATGGCAATCAGCCCCCATCGGAAAATAGTTTAATGGGAACTTTTGTAATGAAGGTGAAGAAAGTGCGTCATATAAAATGTGGGCGTGTAAATAGTCTAAAAAAATATGTAAACGATAAAAGAACGAATTTTAAATGAGTGCATTTTTCAACACCTCAATACTTACCTGTCGGCGACGTTACCAATAATGGTTGACCCGAATATCACTCCTAGGAACAACACCATAATAGCATTATTTTTTAAGATATCATCGTCACAAACCATATTAAACTAAATTAATATATAAAATATGGGCTTGCATGTTAATTAAATCTTCAGGTCTTAAACAGCATAAAATTTAAAAAACATCTTCTAAAACTGCGAAATACAGATTAGATTAATCCTAATCAGCAATGTCTTGAAGAAAAGATGCACTACAGAGGCACAAGAACGTTTGCAATGTAAGGGGATGAGGGGGAGGGGGGCTATATATAGAATATATATTGGAGATCAGGGAGAGGGGGGGGGGCTATATATAGAATATATATTGGAGATCAGGGGAAGCAACTATTAGTCCTGGCGTATTAGAGACACGAGAAGAATTAAAACAAAAAATACCCCAGTAAAAAATCATATTACACTTACCCCAGTAACAAGGGTATTAGAAAACAGGGGTATTAGAAGATTTACCCAAGTAACAAGGGCATTAAAAGATTTACCCAAGTAACAAGGGTATTAGAAGAATTAGCCCAGTAACAAGCGTATTAGAAGAATAACCCCAATACCAAGGGTATTAGAAGAATTACCACAGTAACAAGGGTATTAGAAGAATTAGCCCAGTAACAAGCGTATTAGAAGACTTGCCACAGTAATAAGGGTATGAGAAGAAGAAGTTCCCGAGTAACAACGGTATTAGAAGAATTACCCCAGTAACAAGGGTACTACTAAAAGAATTACCGCAATAACAAGTGTATGAACAGAAGTACCCGAGTAACAAGGTTATTAGAAACATTACTCCAGTAGTATTATAATATTTACCTCAGCGAAAAAAGTATTTTTTTTTATTTAAACAATATTTTATTCAGAAAATTTTGGATTGGGGAACAGGCTTAGCCTATGGACCCCATCGTCATAGTATACAAATACAAACATTAAAATACAAAATAATAGTAATAAATATACAAGATAATTGTAATTTGATGGCTATTTACATTATATACAAATTACACAGCCACAACAATGTGTATATTCAAAATTCATGACTCTAAAACCTCTTGGAGATGTCGAGAAAATCATTGAGTGCATTAAATATCTGTGTTGCCTGATAACTATCTTTTACGCCAAATAATAGGGAGTTAATATTGTGATGTTCTGTTTCTAATTGAAAAATAGTTTGAGAACGGGCATCTGAATGTAGGGGGCAAACTAACAGAAAGTGTTCGGAGTCTTCAAAAGAGTGACCGCAATCGCATGTAGGAATGTCCGAAATATGCCTTAGAAATTTATGTCCGTTTAAATCACTGCAAGAAAGTCGAAGGCGAGAATGGAGAATTTGATTCTTCCTGCAACCAATGTAGTAGACAGACGGAACAGAGTTGTCTGTAGCTCGTAATTTTGATTTAAAAGAAGAAATTGTAAGTGCGTTTTTGGTAGCATTATCAAGTGTATTCCATTCTCTAATAGTGGATGGTATGAAAGTAGAAGAGAAGAGAGTTGTTCGGCAAAAATAATCTGGTAAATTATTTTGGTTTCGTAGATTGTATGAATATGATTGATTACAAGGAATAAGTTTAAATAAATAGTCGGGAGTAAAATGATTTAAAATTTTATACATTAATATTAGTTTGTGTCGCCTTCTTCGTTCTTGAAGGGATATAAACCCGGTCTCCTGATATATTAGCCTATGACTGGTACCCTTTACAGCACCGCATATAGTCCTGAGTGCATCTAATTGTAAATATTCTAGTTTGTTAGTCAGTTCAGCAGTGCTCCCGTCCCATATTACGTCACAGTAGTCAAAATGAGGAAGAATGTAAGAAGTGTACATGGTTTCTAGGGATTTGCGACTAAGTCGGTACTTTAGAGATCGAAGACAGTTCACGAGTTTACCAGTTTTTATTAAGATGTTATTGATATGAATATCCCACTTACAATTATTTTGAAATGTCAGTCCCAGGTGCTTGTGATACGAAACTTCTTGAATTGGAATGCTGTCTAAGTTTAGTGTCGGTAGTATAATCTTCTTCTTAGTAGTAAGTGCAAGTGTTTCAGTTTTCAGCGGGTTAAAGGATACCAGCCATGTTTTTGCCCAAATATTTATTTTTTCTAAGGACATTCGCACATGCTGTTGGGTCACTTACTTTTATATATAAACTTGTATCGTCTGCAAATAGTCTGATGTTCGAGTCGATGTTTTTGACAATATCATTGATATAAATAAGGAACAAAAGGGGTCCGAGAACGGAGCCCTGTGGGACACCAGCTGGGACAGTCAGGGGTTCAGAGGAAGCACCCCCAATAACCACGCATTGTTTTCTATTACTAAGATAGTCTTCAAACCACTCTAGTAGATCTCCTCTGATCCCAACTTCCCCTAGCTTATGACAAAGTGCAGAATGCCACACTCTGTCAAAAGCCTTGCTGATGTCACAGAACACCGTTCTCGTATACTGGCCTTGATCGATGGCTTGACAAAAACAGGAAGGTCTATTAGTTGATAAGTAGTTGAGTCCCCGTGCAAAAAACCGCTTTGTAGATTAGTTATAGTGTTGTGATCCTTAAAGAAGTTAAAGACATGTTTGTAAATGCATTTTTCAAACATTTTGACAACAATACTTAATAATGATACCGGTCTATAATTACCACAAAGAGTTGGGTCACCTTTTTTTAAAAATTGCCGTGATGTTTGCAGATTTCCAAATAGTTGGTACATGCTTACAGTTTAAAGAGATGTTAAATAATTTACATAATGGTTCACTTATTTCAGAAGATAGAGATTTTATTAATTTCCCGCTAATTTCGTCATGTCCTGTAGCTTTAGAAGTGTCAATTGTTGAAATCATGTCTCTAATTTCTTTAGGTGTTAGTAATATGTTGCACAATGAGTGTTCTTCGTGCTCGAGGTCCGGAAGAGTTGCATTAGTGTAGTCTAGCTGTGATTGGTTAATAAAAAATTCGTTTAAATAGTGTGCTTTATCTTTAGGATTAAATAATAGGGTCCCATCTTTCATAAGTGGTGGAATTTCGCCACCTGTTTTATCCTTAACAAACGAGTTAACAAGACGCCACCACCCTTTTTTGCCAAAATTGTTTGTACTGTTAATTTCGTCGTCTAATTTTTGATAATATTCTTTTTTACAGTTTCTTATTAGATTAATATATGTATTTCTAATATGTCTAAAATTTTGCCAGTCAGTTGCCAAATTATTTTTTACAGCTTTCTTGTGTATTTTATTCCTTCTCATTTTCCTAATAAGTGTTATTCATCTATAATTTGCCTTTAGGTCTAATAGTAACTTTTTTGTTGGGAATGTTTTTTGTTGCTAGTTGTATTAGCTCGTTTGTAAAGGCTATACTCGAACTTTCAATTGAACTATTATCTAAGATGGAGTCCCATGGTATACTCCTAATGTCATGTCGAAAATTGTCAAAGTCTGCCCTATCGTAGTTCCATATTGTTCGAGAGAAGCTATGTAGTGTTTGACGATGAAAATTTAACCGACAGTACACAGGGCAATGATCACTACAGAAGTTATCTAATACACCAGATTCGTAAATATATCCTGAACAATTTGTTAAAATTAAATCAATTAATGTTTCCCCCCCCACCCTTTTGTTGCCATATCTTGTTGGTTCTGTTTAAAATCAAAAACTGAGATAGCTGAGTGAATAATAGTATTTGTTTTAGTCAAAAGATCAAAATTAAAATCTCCAAATATAAGGAGGTTATTTATATCATCTGATGCTGCCAATGACAAAGAATCAAATATTGAGTTGTTAATTTGGGTTGAAGAATTTGGAGGTCTGTAAAAGGTGCCAATTAAAAACTTTGCATTATTAATATTTGTTTCAATCCAAATGCACTCTGTACTGTCGGTTTCTAAATCAGTCCTACGTTTTGTTAATATGTTCATACGGTAATATAGTGCAACGCCCTCACCCTGTCCGCCTGTCCTGTCTTTTCTTATAGGTGCATTAAAACCAGGGATAGATAGGGTGTCAGATGAAACGTTTTTGTCAAGCCATGTCTCTGTAAGTAAAATAAAATCATAATCTTCTGATAATTCTGCTGTGACAAGATCAATTTTATTTCGGATGCTCCTAACATTCAAATGCATCAAGGAAAATTTATTTGGTCCAGGATTCTGCTCGACATCTCCACTCTGTAACAATAAAGATAACATACATATTTAAATGCTAGTGAAAATTGATACATGATAATCGTAATAAATGAAGGGTTTATGAAGTAGCCGTGATTGATTATATACAATACATTGGCAATAAATACACGAAATGAACTTATTTACATTTATGTACAAGAGGTACAACGCTACCTTACCTCTGTGATTGCCGTAAAAAATAACGACAAGCTGCATATGTTCAGACAGAGTAAAGAGAGAACTTTAATTAAAGAATAAGTTAGATTAAATATAACATTAAAATTATAAGGAAAAATAACTATTATCAAAAATATTAACAAAATTTAAGCTATTTACTATGAGATAATGAATAAACTATAACACATACTTAATAATAATAAATGATCAATCAATGTATATTTTAACTACACGTACTTCAGTATTACTTTTTATTACAAAAAAAAACGAGTAATGTTTGTATATAAGACACCGTTATCTTATTTATATTGTGTCAAATATTGTATCAATGTGTATTAGATAAAGTTTTAACATAGTATTTTATTGTAAAGTGTTATTAAAGGATAGGTTGCCAGGCAACTAAACATACGCCCACAGCAGCTAAATCGTCCAAGCGGTCGTCAAGGGTTGTCGCACATTTATTCCCTTGTAGGTAATTGGGGGCCCTTACAAGACAGTTCCATACAGATCAGATTATAAATTTTGTCGTTTGAGTGTTTAAAAGGTTCTACAAACTGAAACAAGGGTCCCAACTCTGGAAGTAATCTACACAAACTGTTGAAACCTGACAGGCTCTCTCGTTTTACTAACCCAAATAATGCATATAAGTTTCATACAGATCACATGATCACTTTTGTCATTCAAACGTTCAAAATCGCCATAATTCGAGGAATTATTGACGGAAATTGCGGAAATTCAATAGACCTGTTTCACAAACCCAAACGATGCACACAAACCTCATACATATCGGATGATAACCACCACCAATCGAGCACCAACAAGGTCCAACAAAGCGAAACAAGGGCAACAACTCTAGAACTAATTATTGTAAACAGTTGAAATTCAATAGGCTTACTCGTTTCACCAATTTAAATCATGCACATAAATTTCACAAAGATCCGGTGATAACTTTTTGCGTTAGAGCATTCACAAGGATTAATAAAGTGAAACAAAGGCCATAACTCTAGACGTAACAAACGGAAATTGCTGAAATTCGATAGTCTTCTCCGTTTCACTAATCTAAATAATGCATAAAAATTTCACAAAGATCGAATGATAACTTTTGGCGTTGGAGCATTCACAAGGTTCAACAAAGTGAAACAAGGGCCATAACTCTTGACGTAATAAACGGGAATTGCTGATATTCAATAGGCTTCCTCGTTTCAGCAATCTAAATAATGCATATAAATTTCACAAAGATCGGATGATAACTTTTGACATGAGAGCGCTCACAAGGATCAATAAAGTGAAACAAGGGCCATAACACTAGACGTAATAAACGGAAATTGCCGAAATTCAATAGGCTTCTTCGTTTCAGTAATCTAAATAATGAATTTAAATTTCAGAAAGATCGGATGATCACTTTTGGCATTAGAGCGTTCACAAGGTTCAACAAAGTGAAACAAGGGCCATAACTCCAGACGTAATAAACGGAAATTGCTGAAACCCAATAGGCTTCTTCATTTCACTAATTTAAATAATGCATGTAAATTTCAGAAAGATCGGATGATAACTTTTGGAGTTAGAGCGTTCACAAGGTTCAATAAAGTGAAACAAGGGCCATAACTCTAGACGCAATAAACATAAATTGTTGAAATTCAATAGGATTCTTCGTTTCACTACCTTAAATATTGCATATAAATTTCACAAAGATCGTATGTTAACTTTTGGCATTAGAGCGTTCACTAAGATAGTTCCTTTTAACTATGAACAAGTTTTAACTTCACATATTATTAAGATATAATGTATACGCTTAAAGTTTCAATATAAAATTGTTTATATACTTATATATGAATATAAAGAAACTTACATACATTGTTATAGATAATTAGAATCTCGAAGCTTGGCTAGATTTATTTGGTGACATTATTGGTGTTGGGGTTTTGGGTGTTGACGTCATAACCCCAAAGTTTACTATGGATTGTTGTCTAGATGTCTTCTGTCCTTCGTTTAAAGATGCTAGTTCTCCAAATATATTTCGCCTGGTATCTCCTTGTTGCGTTCTAAGAATAGGTCTTGTTGTTGCTGGTACTGATGTGAAATTTTTCAAATCGTCTTCATTATTTATCAGATATGTTCTGTCATCATCTAAATTTCTGACGTATATTCTCCCATCATACGTCCAACAACTCCTTACGAGGCCAGCTTTGAAAACTGCTCGTGTTTGTTTGTATATGTAGGATCTTCTCTTTGTTAAGGCTTCGTTGATATAAATTTTGGATTTATTAGTAGTGTTATAACCCTTTAAACGTTTTTTATTTCTAAACACAACAGCTCTGTACCTATAGCTAATAAAACGCACAATTATGTCCCTTTCATATCCGACATTTTTGCGGCCAACCCTGTGCGAGCGTCCAATATGATGAAGGTTTAACTTTTCTTCACACTCCGGTAAAATTTGTGAATTGATAAGATCTAAGATTAATTTATCTGTGTCTTCATCTGGTGTTTCTTTTATCCCACTGAATTTAAGACAGGTTCTCCTGGAATATTGCTGTAATTCGTCGATATAGTTTTCTAATTGCACAATTTTATCGTTCATTTTTTCGAATATCACAGGTTTTCTTCTCTTTTGTAAATTTCCCGAATTAAGGATTTAAGAGATTCATCGTCTTTTACCAATGTGTCAAGAAAAGCAGATATGCTAGCGGAACTGGTACTATCATCAGGTTTGCTTCGCTTGTTGTTGTTTTTCTTATTCGTCATTTTAAGTTGCTTGTATTGGTTTTCTATTAAATGTCTGACTGTCCTCTTCTTGACTCTAACTAAAACGAACTTCGCTCACCTGAGCACTTCTAAGTTGAAATCGTCGAGTAGACAAAGAAACCTCAAATATCTTGTAATAAAATTGATTATTTGTTAAAGTTTTATAACGTAGTAAATTTTAACATCCTAATTGTATTATTTGCAAAAGTACATACTATTTTAATCACTGGATATCATTAAAATTAGCTTAAAATCTGTCTAATCATTCACTTCACTCCTACTCGTCCGCCATCTTAGTTAACACTATTAGAAGCAGTATTAGAAGAATTACGTCAGTATCAAAAGTATTAGAAGAATTACCTCAGTATCAAAAGATATTAGAAGTATTACCACACACAGTATCAAAAGTATTAGAAGAATTATCAGTATCAAAAGTATTAGAAGAATTACCTCAGTATCAAAAGTATTAGAAGAATTACCTCAGTATTAAGAATATTAGAAGAATTACTACAGTACCAAAAGTATTAGAAGAATTACCTGAGTATCAAAAGTACCAAGGGTATTAGAAGAAGTACCTCAGTATCAAGTATTTTAATATTTACCTCGGTAACTAGTGTTGACCCAAACATTGAAGTATCATAAACCCATGAACCACATTTATTTTCCACTGACGTCATATTACCATATTTATCAACTGTAGTATTACGTAGTAGACAAGTAGAAGATTGTGGTATGGACTGATTTATAAGGTATCCATGGTAATCGTTTTGTTGATGATAAGTGTCGTTTTCATATCCTGGTATTTTACACCTGTAGAATTGAATTACACATTATTCTATTAATCTTAAGTTCAACCCTCTTAAAGAAAATAGCTTCATATTCATTTTGTAAATATATCATTTGGCAATTATTTCTTCTTGTCTGTGGGTTTTAGAGTTATAATTCCTTCATGTCGTATTTACCTATTTTCTTAAAATTGCAATTACGTGTATCCCTAATTTTGATAACTTTTATTGATATGAATTTGAGATAGGATGCCTAGAATACGCATGTTACTAGCTTCATTTAATGTCAGCTTCCATCCAAGTGATATCGCGGACAAAACATCGGCATGCCCATCAGTGGGTCCTTTTCAAAATTAACTTGACTTTACTGGGTTGTTTATTGTTGAGTGTTTTATACAAATGGGCATTTTACCACATTAAAGATGTATTATATAAGAGTTTAATCTTCCTAGCGCATGTCTTTCTTCTGACCTCGAATGTTGAATATATCGATAATTAAACATCTATTCACATGAGAATTCCATAATCAAACTCTCTTGAACATCGAATGGTCGCGATTTTAAATGGATTGAAACACGATTCATATTTATTATTTTACTATCGACCTTAAGACCACCACTGTAACCTCTTTTTACTCTTTTAAAACAATAATTTCATATTTGTATTACTAATTATTAATTGATGAATATTATTATGAAATATAACCCTAAAACAATGTTGGTGCTAAAAGGTACAGGTGAATTGACAAGGGTAGTTCCGCGTGCCAGTCGATTAGAACGCCACAGACCATTTGATTGGCTAATCCCTCACATCAACCAGGACGCGAGTTATTTAACAACTCTTCAAGATCCTAGTGTAGTGAAGAGAGGAAATTTGTTAACAATAACCCCCCCACCCCCAAAACAAACCGAAACGAAATAGAATCTGTGTTTTAAACAGATTGTAGGTAGAGCTCCTTACTTATTTCATATAATAACATTTTCACCTGTTTGATCTATGCTATATTTAATCTTTTTACCTGTGTAATGGAGTAACCATGGTAAATATCGATACAAATATCACCATCGCTGAAGATAGTGGCTGGACACAAATGGGAAAACTCAATAATTTCTGGTAAAGCCCAAACTCTCCAATCAGCTTTAAAACATCGTCGTACAACATAATGAATGATGATCTGTTATAATAAGTAAAAAGAAAAGTAGAACCGATCTCTGAATATTATATAATATTCAGAATGTAATTTACACGGCATAGGGAATCAAAAATATTAAAAAAAATAGTTCGTATTTGAGCTTCAGTAGATTATTAAAATTCCTGGATCATAGAATAAAAAATTGACATTCCACAGTTACATAAAATATGTTATAGTCTGCAGTCTGGACTATCTTCATTTAGTAACCGGATAGAGCAATAAACTATTAGGCCCATTTCACGTCACGTAAGTTACGGTTCGGAGCAGTTTAGAGCTCTGTAAAATTGTCTGATATCAATTAAATCAATATGTAAATGCATCAGAATATCTCAATCCTGTCAATTTTAAAAATTGATAATTATCAAAACTTTAAAGCAGGTGAATTTTCCACAATTTAACTTAATGTAACGGTCACGTCAGTTACGCAGAAAAATTAAATAATCATAACTTGACATTTTGCAGTGAAAATTCTGTGATTTGTGAACCATGACTAGATAATTTTAAACATAATATGAAAGAATATTCATTCTATTTTGCAATTCAGCAAAAGAAAAGATTTTTTTATGGATACATTTACGCATGTAAATCAAAATATACCGTCACGTAAGTTACATAGGTTTGTCACGTAAGTTACGTGTGTGAAATAAAAGCTTTAAAGGTTCCAAAAATAACAAATTTATTGATTCACTTGTATTTTTTTAGATTAATATTAGGAACTTCATATTATAATTAAGTTATCACTCAGTACCAAAATACAATCTTAAGTATTTTTCTCTTTGGTATCTTCTTCTTGTACACGTATAACATTTTACACAGAGGTGCATTTTTGGTACCAACACCATAATCTAAAGGCTAGATTCCATTTATCATTTTTTTCAGAAATTGAGACATTATGTGTTTTGTTACTAATACTATAAACTTCAATATTGTTGAAAGTCAATATACCTGTAAATAGTAAATTTACATTTCTTCATTTACACATCAACTTCAATAACAACCATTTCATTTGTCATTGCTTGTGATGTCAATACATGTATACATGTATCTGATTGGTAGGGGTAAATATTAATAATTGTTTATAACAAAATCATTGCTGATACTAATAGACCTTTTATGATGATTGATGAAGTTAGAAAATCTGCATCATTGGAGTTCTTAATACAACTAATATTTAATGACTTTCGAAAATATCGTATGTGTTTAAAAAAAAAACAAATTCCATAATGTCTCAAAGTTTTGAAAATGATAAACTGACCATACATGTAAATACCCATCTCATTATTTATTCTAATAGACCATCTGCCGAATTTAAAAACAGATATGTTGTGCAGTATTAAAAGTGTAATACTCTAGTGTAAAAATATCTTGCAACTTTTTGCAGCGGATTGGGGAGAATGTTTATTAGGGGGGGGGGGGCTGCATATCATTGTACAATCTGAATCTGATTCTTCTGTTGATACTGATATGTAAATGTTATTTATTATGTAGCGGACAAAAAGATATCAACGAAAACAGAATCAGAGGATGATTGAAGCGATGCATTAGCCAGTACCATATATTTCAAAATTATTCATTTGTTACTTCTAAATTAATGATGAAAATTATTAAATCAGACTTATTTCATTAAAGTGAAACTGTAAAAACAAAACAAAAATAGTTAAAAACTAATTTGTGACTTTTGTTTTTTTGGTAACTTACGTGTCCATTGTGTCTATTATGCACTTAGAAGTTCAAAAACAAATTTCACAGAACTAAACATTAAAATTAGATATTATTAATAGATTTTTATGAAATTATTGTAAAACATGTGAACATGAAAGCATTAAAGTATATAAATCTGTCACGTAAGAAATGGGGTTTAACGTCCTACTGTTCTGCTCCTAACCTGGGCTGTCACGTAAATTACAGAGGGATAAGCAAAGTTTAGCGCAACAGTACATATTTTAACTTATGTTCGGATGTTATTCTTTGACATGAAATATTGATTCGCTATTTTTAAATAGACACATCTTGGGATTAGCACAAAGCCTGCAACTAATTTCTAATTTTCCCATTTTAAAAAGTGAAAGTCGATGGGATAACAAAAAGAAAAATGGAAACCAGTATTATTAAAATATTTACCTGGACGAAAGAGTAAATAGTCACAATGGCAACACTAGATAATAATGATATTTGTATACTTATATTACCTGTTATTCTAACGTCAAGTTGTAATTTATAATATTTATTTATTAATAGAGTTATTTGAGGAGATATTAAACAGATAGTAAATAGAAAATGAATTCAGTTAAAGATGCGCTGTGTAAGATCTAAATCAGGTCGGTTTTTCTGCCTTCAAATCCTATATAAATGATACGCCCATACTCAACTCTCTAGATCATCGGATGGCTTCTATAATAAATGGGCAAGACCACAACCACCATATATTCATTTCTCATAAAAAGCACAATGGAGACTTTGTTTACTATCGTTACAATGGTACTCTACACTTGAGACAAGCTATTCAAAGGTTCGCCCCATATTAAAGTTATTTGAAATTTTCAATATATATTTATTTTTCATTATCTCATTTTGAACTATTATATCAAGAACGACCAGCTCTTTATTTAATTCTTAGATAGTGTATCTTTAATGTAAAACTCTATATAATGGTTTTATTTCATACCTTTTGTTGGGAGGCATTTGACTGTAGTATAATTAATACCAATTCAAACTGGTTGGGATTCCAAATTTTTCTTATCTGCATCATTATCATTTAATATCAATTCAGCCATTTTTCATCTGTATAATTTATTCTATTTTTCAAGGGCATTTAGTGGAAGCAATATATAAAAACAGACAGCTTTATGGATAACATTCTATCATATCTCCTCTATCAATAACTTGAGGTTAGCATACATTTTCCGTAGTCATGAACATCAGATAATCGTTTCGCTAACCACTTCCTTCTACTTCATTCTGTAAATGTTTTGTACTACACTCAATATAAATTCTTGACTAATCAATTGAGACTTGAGAGTGAACATTTTTACTTTGTAATTTTATACCAGTATATATTTTATGGTATGGTTATATATTAAATCAATGTATTTATATTTCTGTCAATACCTTCTAACGGTAGATGAATTTACATAAGCTCCGGTTTGTTTTCAAATCCCATAATTATATAATGTAAAATGAAATGAAATGGGGTTTAACGTCCTACTGTTCTGCTCCTATACTGGGCTAATGAAGACGGGCATACGCCATACAGTGTGCTATGAGGGAAATTTTGCCCGGGCACCATCGCCTACTCTTATATCGAATTCTAGCTGGCCAGTCACATCTCTGGCTTGCGAACGAGCTTTCAATCTCTGGCCCCAAGTTCATAAAGCATTCTCAGACTTAAGTTAAGAATTGACTCAAAATTGGTCTCCTTATTTTAACTAAAATATAGACCTTTTATAAAATCTTTGTTGTTTTAATGTATCAAATACATCAATAAGAAACTATGTGCAAAGTTTCGTGTTTCTGGATCAAAGATATTTTTCATAATTAGTGATTGAAAGTTGAGTAAATTCTCAACTTAAGTCTGAGAATGCTTTGTGAACTTGGGGCCTGGTGTAAGCTTATGTGGGTTGGAGACAAGGGCGCCTACTCAACCTCGTTGGAAATGAAATGAAATGGGGTTTAACGTCTTACTTGGATAATAAAGACAGGC